GGTAGACAGTACAAAATAACGGACCTTTTATGACGATAAAAAAAGAATTAAAATTCCCAAAAAATAAAAAAAAAACTATAAAGTCCATAAAAGTCTTTCTTTGAACTCAATTCACCTTCTTCCGACAATAAGATAAGAATTAAGTAGTTAGTAAGTAGCATGGAGATGGGAAAGAACTGTACAGTCACAAATAAAATAATCGAAAGTCGCTTTTTTCTCTTTTGAAAAATTTTTTTTCATATTTTTTTGAAAATAAGAATTTCTATTCGAAACTATTGAATATCTTTTAATTAATAAGAGAATTACTTTATGGTTCTGCTAACTGATAATTCATTTAATTGTTTCTTAATTGATTTGCGCTCTTTTCAATAGAACTTATTTTTTTCTCTTCTCAAAATAATTTGAATGAGAAAAAAAAAGAAAAGAAAGAGAAAAGAAGTTCTTCGGTGTCTTTCTTTATTCACTATCATCGTCGTGTTATTGCTCTTTTTTTGTTCACTTGATAATGTTGGCTATTGAGTTTTAGGAACTTTTTCCCTTTGTCTTAGACGAGAGTCTATTCAGCTTTAAGTCTTTTCATTTAAATTAGTTGGAAATAACCTGTGAACTTCTAGCTTGGGGTCATGCTAGATCGTTGAAAATTAGGTGTTAAAATTCTTGAATGAAATCTATGAATAAGAAGGTTTGATGGGATATCTGCAGATTTATTTATTTTTTTGATGGGAATTTGATGTTTCAGCAATGAGTTTTGTGGTCATAACATCAAAATAACCTATAAAAGGTAACACTTATCACAACACTGACCCCCTTTCTTTTTATTTTGTAGAACCTAAAATCGGCATTTTCGTTAAAAATCACAAGGAAACAATTTTAAAGCCTTAAAAAGATTGTAGAGCCTTAAATTTTGCCTGAATATCAATTAGACTATAAAGCACAATTTTAAGAAAAAGAACTGAAACTTGGTCGAGGTGAGTTGAGAGTCTGTAATCAAGCTGAAGAAGCTTTAATTTTTGTTGCAGGTGTCCAGCATAGAATTTGTTGACATCATTGCATCAAGGCATAATGCCCACTATATACCGATCATTATGATATTTTCCAACGTTATCATTTAATTATAATTTTTGTCAATATAGCAGTATAAATGCAGTCATTAATCGTGAGATTATTCAAATTTTGTATCTTTTTATTTTTTATCCCCACTATTAAAATCCACAGCTATTTATCGCGTATCGATGGTCGCAGATATCAAAACTATTCAAAAATAAATCGTAATCCAAATAATCTTTTCAGAAATTAAAGAAAAATGAAGAAATAACAACAGAAAAAAATAGAAAAAAGAAGATTTTAAAGCAGCACCAATTGATAGAAACAAAAGCGTAGCTGAAAAGGCTGAAAAAGACAATAGAAAAATAAGAAATAAATTGAAAACTCATATAAGTATAATTTCATGTAATTATTTTATATTTTTATTTAATATTTTTTTGTTTCATTCCATTTTTTGTGAAGATTTTTCTTTTTACTTTTATTAATATTATCATTATTATTTCTTATTCTTATTATTACTTTTTAAGAGTTTTTCTTCATTTTTCGAATCTTTTGGTATTTTTTATTTCTGTCTTAACTTCGTTCCCACGGATGAAATTTCATTTAAATCATGTGGCTGATTTTTTTACTATATCTGTGTGTGTCTATCTATGTGTGTGTGTTTGTGTGAAATCTTTTTCAGCATTTTTTATTATTATTATTTTTCATTAATTAATAATAGAATTATTTTCCACTTCTTCTCAGCTCCATTCTCAATATGTATAATCAAAAAAAAAAACTGAAATACAATTCTTTTCAGTAACATTTTTTGTTGTAATATCAATTATAGAGAAGAAAGATTTAATTAAAATATGTATATGAAATAAGATTTTTACATCTTTTTTATATTTTACAATTTTTTTTTATTTTTGTCTTATTTTTTTCTGGGAGAGTTTTTTGAAAGGAAAATTGGTTTAATTTTTTTTGTAGAAAAAGAACTTCTCTCGACGATTAACTTTTGTGAAGTTAGCTTTTTGCAGATTTTAATTTTTTTAATCTTTATAAAAATGAGCTTAGCAACTATAAATAGTTGAGCCCAGGAAACCCCTACCTTACCATTCTTCAACAAGTTTGAATTCAAAATGGTTGGAGTAACTGAAAGGATACTCAAATTTTACCTTAAGAAAGTTTTGCAAGCTAACTTCACACTAGTAATTTTTTTTCATCGAAATGTGTTAAAATATTTTTCTTTTCACCAAAAAAATGAATTTAATTTTTGAATTTTTTGCTTTTAATAATTTTGACTACTTTGCTTCTCGCATTCATTTTCATTCCTAAATACCTTCATTCCAACCTTGCGTAAACGATAGGGCCGCAATTTAAATTTTTTTTTGTTCATTTTGTATACCTTACAAAGAGATTTTTCCATAAAAAATTTTTAACTAAGAAAATAGTACGTTTCCGAAAAGGCACTTTTTTGAATACTAAAAATTTTCTTTATGCCAAAAGTTTCTAAAATTTTTTTAAATATTTTTTTATTATAAATATTTTTTATCTTTTTTTTAAACAATATTTCTATCCGAAAAATATCCAACATTCTCGCGATACCCTTATCTAACGCGAAGGTTGCAGAAAATGATAAATTTTTTAAAAACTTTTTTTAATCACCGAAACACTTAGAATCATAAAAAGGCAATTTTGTATGTTTTTTATCTTTGTAATTTTGTTTTATAATTTTTTTTTCTTCGTCTAATAATAATTTCATTAATTTTGTTCATTTTCCTCTTTTTCTTCCTTCTTTCGTTCTCCTTTTTTCATATCCTCAAACATTAATTTTCTTTCATTCAAAAGAGTTTGTTTTCCATAATTTTTCTTTTATTCTTCTTCATTATCCAAAACATTTTTTTTAATATTATTAAAATCTTTTTTTATTTTGTACGTTTAATGCTTCTATTAGGGACTGGTGAATTTGAATGAATTTTTGAAGGGTTGAAGAGGATTTTCAACGGATATTCTGTTTTTATAAATAGTCATAAATGGGCCAATCATGAAGTCAAGAGACCCCCCCCCCCCCCTGCTTTTGCAGTTTTTTACCTCTTGCTTTAGATCTGTTTGCTTGACGCCAAGAAGCTAATTAGCTTCCAAGTTTTTGAATACCTAAACAAACTCAAACTTTACTTTTGAATTTTTGGTAGATTTTAAAAAAAATCCATTTGCATTAAGTGCATTAAAATCAGACAGAATAACCGTTAAAAAATTTTCATCACCCCATAATCATCATCACCACCCAATATTTTTAATAATTTTTTATTTTCTTCATTTCTGTTTATGTCTCAAAAAGGAAAAAAAAGAGAGAGAAAAATCAAGTCAAGACACGAAAGTATGACCGGAATGTTTGCTTCACTCGAAATGATCATTATTGTTATTATTATTGTTATTATTGTAAAAACTCAAGACATAGAGATAATTCTGTTTATTTCACGATGATGATTTTACTTCTGTCTTTATAATTATTTCTATTTTTATTTTTTTTAGTATTTTTTCATCTCTTCTTCTTAAAACTTTTATTGCATTTCTTTTCTTTCATCTAAAAAAGTTGAGATGTAAACATTTCAATGATAATTTCTTCTTTTCTTCTTTACATTTTTCTTATTTTTCGCTCTTTGATGATGAAAAAAGTTACTACACTTACAATGATGCTGAATCAACTGCATATATATCAATGGATTAATTTAAAAATGTTATTTTTTTCTCTTGTTTATTTTATACACACCAATTTTTATATAATTCTTTAGCATTTTACAATTAATAGGAATGGAGACTTGTTGGTTGAGGATTGATGAAAAATAGATTCAAGTGATCAGGGTTTACAATAGGGGGGGATGTATATTGTCGTAGGCTCCGTTTTGATGTAATTTCAGCTTTAAACTAGTACCAAGAGGGAGAGTGGAAGTCTAAGTCAATTAAGAAGTCATAATCCTAAAACTAAGAATTTTTCATTTTGTCTACCATCACCAATTCACAACAAACCTAAGATTCACCATCCCTAGACACATCTTTCATCATTTAAAAATACTAATATCGAAGATCCGCTTAGATATGACCGAAAAAAAAAGATTTGATAAATGATTTGACAATAATATTGTTCATTGATGACCATTGTTAATTTTAATCACTATATCGAATTTATATTTTTTTACTTAATTATTATGGATTTACTCGGTCCATAATAATTTTGGAAAAATAAAAGATTCATTTATATATTTCCATTTTTTCTTTCATTTACTTATATACGTACTTATCCATGTATGTATTTTCTATGTGCTTCTTCATTAATATTACAGAACAAAAAAAAAAATGTATTATCTAAATGACGACGGTTTATCACATACATAAAATAAAAATTATTAAGTTTTAATAGCGCAGGCAAAAAATGAAATAAAAACTCTTTTTTATTTCTCGATTGTTGTTGCCTCAGCAAACGGAATTACTTTTGTCTTCCAATTAACTTTTGTGGATTTTAATTTAATTGATTAAAGATTTTTTTCTCTTCAGTTGGATCAATTAAAGTTGAATAAAATGTGAAAAGATTTTTCTTGTGAACTGAATAGAGACAAATATGGGATTATTTGTGATTTTAAATGTCTTCTTTTATTTTGTGAATCTGGGATTGTTCTTGTAAAGTGTGAGAATTTTGATACGATTTTAATTCGGAATAATTTTTTAAAATTTATTGAAACTGAATAGGAATTTTTGTGAGAGATCAAATTATCATTTTGACGATGCTGTTCATATGTAGGATTGTAAACTAATTTAAAATGGATAGACCGTCAACTCAATGTCATGATCCTTAATAAGAAAGGTGTTTCAAACCACAAGTTTCAATTTAATCAAAATTTAATAAATTTGTTGTTAGAATCAAGTCCACTTAATCTTTAAGTTAGTATTTCTATTCAAGAAATTTAATTCTACCTCACCTTAGCCATAGTAAAGTTTTTTAAAATCATAACTCTTCAAATCTTTAAGTTCAACGTCGATTCAGTCATCTTGCAATATTTTTCACAAAATATCCAACCAAAAGAATTAAATCCAACTGAGTCTCAAATCGATTTTTTTTACCATACTCGTGTCTATTTCTCCTTCCATGAAATCATAAATAATAAATTTTCTATTGCTATATTTAATAATTTTATTTCTCATTTTCCATCATTTTTATTTCATCATAAAATCTATATGTATATATTTATAATAATTATCATAATTATAATTTAAAAATAATAATAAAAAAACTGTATACGCAATGTAATTTGTGTGTGTGTGTGAGAGTTGATCATTTTCCTTTCCTAATAAATGTGAAAAATGTTGTATTTTTATGCCTACCTATATACACATTTAATGCTTCCCGAAAATAATAACAAAAAAAACTTACAACTTTTTAAATTATATAAAAAAAACTTGAAAATTATTATTGACTTCCTGAAGTCTATCGCTCATTATGAGCTTTCCAAGCAATGGAAAGAGAACCGAATAGTAATAATGTTAAAAGTAAGGTAAAATTATTTTTTTTATGAATACACCTTAGACATACTTATGCTGTGTATGCTTGTTTTTTTCTGTTTTAAAATTACTAAATAATTCTTGACTATTCCACGTACTTATATAGCGTTCCTTCCATTATCATTATTATTATAAATTATAAATTAGAAACATTAAAAGCATTTTTTATTCCTCCTTCATTTTCAATTGTTTGCTTGTGGAAACAGGGGTGGTCGAGTGATTTTTTTGATGAATAATCGGGTTGCTTTTAATCAACATTTAATATTTTTTTTAAAAAAATTTTAAATTATTTAAAACTTTAAAATTATTAAGTTCGAAGTAAAACTTATCGTTTTCGTAAAATTTAAATTTGAAAAAATTCAAATTTTAAAAGTTTTTATAAAAACTATTAAATTATTAAAATTAAATCCAAAATCTTTGAAAAGATTATTAAAAATTCAAACTATCAAAATTTCAAACCAAAAAACCACCTCGACAACCCCTGACTCCACTAAATTATTCTTACATCATACACGATTTTTATACTGTATTTTCCTTTGTTTTGTTGGCTTTCTCATTCTTTCATTTCATTACTCTGGTAGCCCTTGTATAACAATAATTATCATTGATATTTTAACATGTGTGTAATTGTGTGTGATTTTTAGATTTTTTATTTCTTTCAAACTCAATTTTCAATTCATTTTTATTAAATAATGTTCTGGATATTTTCTGTTAATTTTTAATGTAGTCAATGTGGGAAGGATAACTTTGTTCATTTTGAAATATTAAGTCGATCAAATAAAATTGGACATTTTTGAATAAGAGGTTTATGAGGATCTTTATTGGACTTTTTGACGGATTTTTTAAAAAATTCTTTTATTAATCTTCGCAATATCTTCAATTTTAGAGCTTTGAACCAGAAAATCCTCATAAACTCCTATATAAACTGACTTTGTGCTCACCAATGACACGGAAAAATTTCAGTTCTTCCTCATTTCTGTTTTGTTTTCATTTGGGAAATCACACAATTAAATTTAACATTTTTTTACCTTCATTTTTCTTCTTTTATGAGTGAAGTTACAACTTTTGCGTGTATAAGCAACAAACAAATTTGTAACTCTCCCCATCCGTGTTGTTTACATGTCAAAACTTTCCATTACCATTTAATTTATCTTCATTCATATTTGTTCAGTTTTGTGAAAATGACATCAAAAATTTTATTTTTTTTTCCTTTTTTTAATTTTAATTTTTTTTTTCAACATTGAGAGGGAAAATTTTCTTATTCACGACAATCGGCGAGCGGTTCTAACTTAATCGGTGATGAGTCTTTGAATCCGAGATTTACGGCTGCATTGCGGAACGACCGTGAAATATCTTCACCATTCACACTTCCATCACTGCTATTCCGTGATGACTTGTATGACATATCTAGTGATTGACTGCTTATTGCAAGATTTACAGCTGGTTCAAGTGCCTCAATTGACGGAGTTTTACTCTGACTTTTTGGTGAATTCATTTTCGTTATACTTAATCGGTTATTATTCAATCCTTTCTGATGCTGATCCTCAAACTCTTCATCTAATGACTTCCGTAATCGCATTGCTTTCTCATTCTTACGATACTCATTCTCATCATTTGGTGATAAATTCTGCAATCCATGCAGTGACAATTCCGTCGGTAAACTATGAAGTGCTGGTGATTCAAGTCGTGGCATTTGAAGTACATTACTCGGTTCACCACCATTCTTATTCATTTGATTACAATTCATCGCAGGTGATCCGACTTTTGGATTTGATATATTGCTACTCGAATTTCCACCAAGTGTCGGTGTCATCGATTGAATTGTCATGTTCGGTGGTAGATTGAAGCCGGCAACAAAATTTGCTGCATCGACCATATTGCACATTTGTTGACGTACGGCGGCAAGGAGATCCGGTGACATTGAGTCTGTTGCTTGAGGATTTAAGCCATTTGGATAACCTAGCTGCTGTGCATCTTGAAAGGGAAATGGCTGAGATGAGAAGAAGAAAGAGAAGAATTAATTAAGTGGGATTAATTAATTGATGTGGAGTATGAAGTGCCAGGGGTTTGAGATGAGATCGGCTAGTTTGATGCTTTCTAGAATTGTTAAAAGAGAATTTAACAGTTTTAGAAAAATCAAACTTTAACGGTTTTTGTAAGATTTAAATTTTAAACGGTTTTGTAAGATTTAAATCTTAAATTTTTTTTAATGCGATAACAAAAATCGATAAAAAAGAAAATAAAATTTAAACTCTTCAGAACCCCTGCACTACAATCTACACTTAATTAGCATAGACATAAAGCTACATACCGACTGTCTTCCGTATATCATTTGCTCTTCCTTTAAATTCTTTTCATCACGAAAGACTACGCTCTTAATAACTCCTTTGATGTGCTCATCAGGCCATATACCGAGTAGAATTCTTTGAGGTCTCCCTCTGCCTTTTGGTCGTAAATCAGTTCCACCATCCATCGACGGTCCAAGCATATTATGCACTCGATTTGCATAGAGAACAAATGTTGGATATGGAATATCGTATTTTCTAGCAGCTTGAGAAAGTGAAAGACCCTCTTTTAGTACACTAAATATAGCCTCTGCCATTGTCTCTGGACGCCAAGATTTTAGAGGACCACGTTCTCGAAATCGCATATGTTGAATAAGGTTCTGACTATTCCAGCATTTTTGCCACATTGATTGCAATTGATATTGATAACTTTCAGCTGTTAAGGAAGAAAAGAATAAAAGCAAAAATCATTAATCATGTGAAATATACAGTCTTTATTCAGGATAGAGATATAAATAACACAGGGCAAAAAAAAATAAGTTGTGAGTGTAAACAAACCGCAAAGTGGTGGAAAGCATTAACCCATAAAAATACCGAATGAATAAAACATTTGTGATTCCTTCTTTTCCATTGAATTAAAATTCATTCATCCGACTGACTAAATGCCTTTTTATATTTATTTATTTTTTATATAGATATTCATTTCCATTTCGTTTTGTTTCTTCATTCTTTTTTGGTTGTTGGATGAGCTTTTTATCGATATGAGTGTTCTTACTGCTAGAAATTTGTAGATCAGTAGTTCAAATTAAGCTTTTGTTGAACTCAAAGATAGCAAATATTACACCTTTGGCTGCATAATAAGGAATGAATCTAATAATGAGTGCAGCGAATCAAGTTCAAATCTTAAAATTAAGTTTAATAACATTTATCATTTATGAGAAGTTCACTATATTTTTTGCACCAAGAAGGTACCAACTGCAATCGAGCTTCATTCATTATTTTCACTCTCAGTGAAAAATTAACACTGATTCGCGGCATTTAATGCTTAATGAAATTTTTTCCATTTAACACAACAAATTTATTAATTGTTTCAATTTTTTTTTTAATTTTTCGCCTTACAACACACAAACACGTTGAGTGAAATTGCCCATATTATTCATGCCACCCGTAAACATCGTCATTTATTTTCATTCCATTCAATTATTGAGCGAATCAGTGTTGATGGCAATTTACAATGAATTTACCACAATGAAATTTTTTTTATGTTAATTGATGCATTTATTACCTTGGCTGCACATTCGAATTGTTCGTTAAAATTAATGAAATAAAATATTGAGTTGAAAAATATGTTAAGTGATAAATATGGATGAAGGGGTATGAAGCTGCAGTTAGAGTAGGTCTGGAGCGCACTTATTTAAACAGTGCATCAGTCTTAAGGTCTTTATAGTGTCATTTTGATATTTTAGAGTGAATGCATGTCGTTTAGACAATACCTTAACCTTTTGAGAACTGCATAGAACTCCACTCCACCAACTTACTAAGTTCTATCAATTTACTGATCTACCCACCCCCAAAATGCCCATCAAATTCCCTCAAAAATCACATTAATTCAAAATCTTCTGCAACTGACACGCGGCTCGCTCACTTTCATTGCACTTTAGAGGCTGCAGCACTTTCTCATTGCTGAGTCGATAAATATGAAAATGAATTATTATTGAGAGATATTGTGTAATTATTTATTTTAATTTTTATTTTTTATTAATTTGAATTGCGTTTATTGTGTTGTGCCATAATTGAATGAATATAAGAACATATGGTGTGAATTATTGAATTATCGATGATACTTAAATTAAATAACCGAAAAATAAACCGCGTGTGAGAAATAAAAGTTATTCACAATTTTTTTAATTAATAATTATTTGGCGGTACGCAATTTGGATTCAGTTTTTTTGGTGATGTAATCGACATTATTGGATTATCAAATTTGAATTAAATTTTTTTAGAAAGAAAAAGTTTTGAAGAAATTGAAATTATTTTAAATTTATTTTCTTAAGATGAGTTTTGGTTGAAATCTGCTTTTTTGGGAAGAAAATTGATCAAAGAGACAAAAATGTTCAAGTCAGTTTATTAGCTTCACAAACTTTTAACGCCACTCCTGTCTAGTTTTTTTGATCTTGTGTCACTAAACATCAAACAACCTGAATTATGCAAAACAATTCAATTTGATTAAAAAAATCCTGAGATCGTATCTAATAAAACCAGTTAAATTCTGCACTTTTTGTCTTCACCATCGATTAACCTTAACATCCACTCAACAATCTGCCAACGCATTTATCACTGCATTTAAACTTGAAAATAATGCATTCAATCCCATAATTTTTACATACTTAATATGTAAAATATTGCGTTTAAAATCGCATTAATCAAATCAGCCTAACAAGTTATAAAGCCTAAAAAGTACTTTATACCTTCAAAAAATGATGCTACAACAAATATAATCATTTCCCATAAATTTATTTCATTTAACATACGATAAATAAGCTCTTTTAAGTAGCCAGAAAACATAAATTGTGATGAACAAATAAGTTTTTTTTTTTTCATATCCACAGATGCTCTTTTTTTTGATGGTCATTTAAATTCGTATGATTATGTGAATTATCGATCAATGTTGAGTGGATTGAATGGAAGTTGATGTCTGCGTGTGTTTGTGTTGTAAAAAGGAAGACGATCGTTATACTGTCAAGATTTTTGTATTCAATTTGCTTTCTTTGTTTGTTTTTTGATTTGAGAATTGATTTTAGATGTAGAGCTGGTCGAATGTTGAGAAAAAATTTAAATTCTGCCTAGCTTTTTAGTTTACTTAGGCACATGAACTTCCTCCACGTTGGATCTTGTGGACCTAGTCTATAGAGACTTTAGTGCATAGTCTTTTTACTCCCACATCTAGGTTTATATAAATCCCTCTTCAAAATGTCCCTCAAAAATCCACAAAATTCACCAAAACTCAAAAATATTCTCAAATGACACCACAAAAAAAAATTAAGCTCCCCAAAAAATATCCACAACAATTACCATTTTTCCCATTCATTCATTTATTAAAAAATACAATTTAGCTGAGTCAAAACGTCAACTCAATTATTCAAAAATGTCATTTAAAAAAAGAATCAACTATTTCAAATTCATGCAGCACCTATTCACATTTGAAATTATTATTATTTTTATATTGTTGAATTTATTTTATTCAATTTTTTTCTAGCTCTTTTGTATACGCGAGTATTACGTAAAGAACACGAAGAAATAGTAATAATAATTTATATTGTGATTATCGTTATTATTATTATTATTATTATTATTAAAAAAACAAAAAAATAATATAATAGCGCTGACTAGTAAGTAAGTACAACAACAAATAATAAAAAGAAACCTTAGTGCCTATAAGATATTATTTAATTTCCGGTTGAAAATTTTTCTCTATTCATGTACAATACACATTAAAATATATTTTATATTAATTATACTTATTCTTTTTCTCTCGACTGTTATTATTTTCATTTATTTTATTGTGCTGTTTCTTAAAATGTTTTGAGTTTGCTTTGTTGTGGTTTGATTTGGCTGTCATGTTGAGAGGGATATTGGGAATTATCTTTTTTTTTGGGTACTATTTGATATGTTGATGCGGAGATATGTGAAATAATTTTGAAATATGAACAAAAAGATGCGAAATTAATGCAAAAATTTGACTGAATGACGCGAAATTGAAGCAAAAGTTCAAATAAATGACGCGAAATTGAAACAGAAGTTCAACTTATGAAGCAAAATTGAAGCAAAAGTTCAACACAATGACGCAAAACTGAAGCAAAAGTTCAACTTAAAGAAGCAAAATTGAAGCAAAAGTTCAACTCAATGACGCAAAATTAAAGCAAAAGTTCAACTCAATGACGCGAAATTGAAGCAAAAGTTCAACTCAATGACGCAAAACTGGAGCAAAAGTTCAAATAAATGAGGCGAAATTAAAGCAACTTAATGAAGCAAAAGTGAAGCAGAATAGTTTAATAAAATGATGCAAAACGTAAGCCAATAAAAAATGCGCTCTAAACTCCCAAAAATCTAAAACCAATTAACTGAATAATTCTCATTCTAACTTCTCTCTTATTTTATATATTTTATTCACGGCAAAAACACGAATGGAAAGCAGATGTGGAATGAGTGATTACAACAGAACAGATAATGTCGTTATCTAAGATTCATTTTCAACTATGTATACTAAATATTAGTATGTACAAGTAGCTTATTGTTGAACAACAAAGTAAACGAAATAAAAAGAGGTAAAATAAAAATCTTTGAACAGAAGAAATAATAAATTATGAGCGTAAATTGAATACGCCACACACAAGAAATAAAAATAACTATTTTGAAAGTATGTAATTATTATTGTTTTGCTGATTCACATGTCTAATGTAAAAATAATAACAATAAAAATAATAAGAATATATATTAAAAAAATTTAATGTTTTTTCGTTCATACACAAAAAAAAGGCAAATAATAAATATATGAAATTATAATATTAAATTCATTTTTGTTTTCCTTTATTTTACGTCTTCTACTAGCGCGTTTTTTTTTATTGAGAGTTGAGCTGTATAGAATAACATTATTGTTATTATAAAAAAATATATTTATATTTATACATTTAAACTAGAATTGGTGGTTTTGTTAAGCATGTTGTGAGTTGATCCTAGTTGATGAGGTGCTAAATTGAAGGGGGTTTGAGGTTAGGCTTGGTTTTTAATGGATGTTAAGCTAAGGCTGTTAATAATCTGGAGAGCTTGAAGGTCTTTATACTAATGAGGTTCAAAATAATGTTTTTATGGCAGTTTGCAAAATAAAAAAGATGGACCCCTCAAAAAAAAAAATTCTCATGACACCATCGAACAAATGTTAAGAATTATACACAACATTAATATGTATAAATAAAATTTATTTTTTCGGGAACAATAAAAATAAGAGGAAAAAATGTAATTTAAATGTACGTAGTATAACATAAGTCATAAATACAGCAAGAGTAAAAAATTGTATTAAAATTATTGCCTTGGCGTCAGACAAACATTAAAAGGGTTCGGCATTAGATGGATATGGATGAAAAGAGAGCATAAACATGAAAATTGTTATTTTTCTATAAATGAAATTTTTTATGATTCTTAGAAAAAATTATCAAAATTAAATTTGTTTAATGGAAAAAATGTGAAAAAAATTTGAAATTCTTGAAAATGCATTGCAGCCCTGTATGCATGACCTCCAGTACGGGTTGGCTCATTTCTTCCGCTTATACTTCATGCATATATTAATATAAGCAATGAACAATGTTGTGTGGAATATTCCACATTAAATATTATAATATTTATTTTATTGTATTTATTTTGATAATTTAAATATAAAGT